TCTCGGGGCTCTTTTGATCACTGAAAACCATCTCGGACACCTGTGATAATTAGATTGCCAGGTGAGCCCAATTTAAGGGAAAACTACTAAAGGAGGGTGTTCCACATTATTAAGCAGAGCACCACTTTCATGCAATATGGGGAAGAAAAAGGTGAAATAGTTCAATGCCTTGGTCGAGGTATGAAAACATTAGATATTTCACGAAAACTTAAGCGTGGTCATCGCATTATTAAGAGATTTGTGGCTGATTCAGAGCACAGGTGGTTTCATGCAGATAAAGGCAAATTGAGGAAGATTTCTGCCAGATCCATGCATCGGATCAAGAGAGCAGCTGCTAAAATACCATTACATAGCAGCAAACAGATATTTTGCAAGTCCTCCAGAGTCTTGCAACTGTGCATAAACCTTCTATTCTGCTACCACTAACCAATGCTTACAAGCAGAAACGGCTGCATTGGGTAGAAAAATACATGAAGACTAATTTTCAAACAGTCCTGTTCACTGATGAGGGCCGTGCAACCCTGGATGGTCCAGATGGATGGAGTAGTGGATGGTTGGTGGACGGCCACCAAGTTCCAACAAGGCTGTGACGTCAGCAAGGCAGTGGTGGAGTCATGTTTTGGGCCGGAATCATGAGAAGAAAGCTGGTCGGCCCCTTTAGGGTTCCCGAAGGTGTAAAGATGACCTCTGCAAAGTATGTGGAGTTTCTGACTGACCACTTTCTTCCCTGGTACAGAAGGAAGAACTATGCTTTCCGTAATAAAATCATCTTCATGCATGACAATGCACCATCTCATGCTGCAAAGAATACCTCTGCATCAATGGCTGCTATGGATAAAAGGAGAGAAAGTCATGGTGTGGCCTCTATCCTCCCCTGACCTCAGTCCTATTGGGAACCTTTGGAGCATCCTCAAGCAAAAGATCTATGAGGGTAGGAAGCAGTTTACATCTAAACAGCAGCTCTGGGAGGCTATTCTGACATCTTGCAAACAAATTCAAGCAGGAACTGTCCAAAAACTCACAAGTTCAATGGATGCAAGACTTGTGAAGCTCCTATCAAATTAGGGGTCCTATGTTGAAATGTAACGTGACCTGTTAAAATGTTGTTATAAGTTTGATTGAAATAGCTTTTGATTTTCTGTAAATATGCTGCAAACAACAAATGACAATTTTCAGTTCTTTACAACCTATAAAGTGTTTTGAAACTTACTGTGCGTAATAATTTGGAACAGTGTGCATTGTAAGTAGTATTTTTTTTAAATTTTTTTTATCATTAGGAGGTTTGTTCAATAAAATTTGAATTGTACTCTTAATAGTTGATAACGTGAGAATTATGCTGACTGTTTACATAAATTATTTAGGTAAATGAGAAAAATATAATTTGCATAATAATTTGGAACTGGGTATTGAAAGTTACTTTCGAGCCTGGAAGGTACTAGGCTCATTCACCAGGGGTGAATTTCTGTTAGTCAGGGCTAAATTATCGCTCTCCAATGATTAGGGGCGAATGGACATTTTGAACCATGTTGTACTTTCTAACAAAATCTCATAAGAACATTAAATGAATACTGCAGGAGTATGTTTATTTCTTGCATGTCTCAAATTGTGCACATAGTATTTTGAAAATAAAATATTTGATTGCACCTTTAGGATATGCTTGCTTACATAAAACACTCAAGGCCATCAAGTTCAACTTTTCATATGGGTTACTGATGCTGTTTTAAAATAAGGTGAATAAACAATTTGAAGTTATTTGCATTTTTGCCACAAATTTGAGAAAACGTTTTCACTGGCATAGTGAAATTCTCTTTTTGGTCTAAATGGGTATTTTTTTTTACCCTCTTTATTTTTATTTTTAACAAAGACGGTTAGAAAAATAACATTCGGCATATGGGTAGATTAAAGTATAGTTGTGGACAGTACACTTGTTGACCCACACTTTTCAGTAAGTAGGTAGTTTGCCCTTTAGAGGTCTATAGTGTAGCAAGCGGTGCATAACTTAAAGTACCTTTTGTATAACGTGCATCCCACTCCTACCCCTTGTCCACCCGCCACCAGGCGGTGTAGTAAGTTGGGGGTTCTGTACCACTGAGTCAGTAAGTTATAGCTCATTTCTTGAAATTTGGAGCTGATGGAGCTTTTGTGGGTCAGTGTGAATATCTTGTCCTACTCCTGAGGGTAGCCCTGACCGCTGTCTCCCATCTAGTGGTATATTCCAGAGGCAGAGTATTCCCTCCCGTTAGCAGCATAGTGTAAAGCGCCGAGATCCCGCTGTGGATGTGCTTCCTGTTGGAGCACAAAGATTCAAAGTGCATGGGTGTTCTTTGGAACTGTGAAGCTGCTATCAAACAAGGGGTCCTATGTTGAAATGTAACGTGACCTGTTAAAATGTTTAAAAAGTTAAAATAGGTATGAATTTGATGGTAACAGAACCTATCTAGACTATTCAGCTGTCTACCGGACATCCGTTCCGCCAGGGTTTTGAGCTGGGAGCCTGTGGTCTGAGGCCCTGAGACCCAGGTTGTTTGTTATGGGGGTCAGTGGTCCGAGGTTTGTCGTTAATTGTTGCAAGTGTCTTAGGGAACACCATTCTCTTAGGGTGCAGTCTATCAGAGGTGTGCCACCGAGCCATAGTTTGGCCGGGATGTTCCAAACCATGAGATGTAGAAATCGGTCCAGCGCCGTAGATCGGATTGCAGCGTGTCTAGAATGGGAAGAAAATTTAGTTGATACAGCTGTGTGGTCATTTGGGAGCCAGATTCTAAGATATTGGAGGCTAGTGTCGCACCATTTGAATGGGAAATGGGCCTGGAGGTGTTCCACAGTGGTACGAGAAAGCATGACTGCCATTGCTTTGGATTTGTTTAAATTCAGTTTGAGATTGGAGACCAGGTTGTAGGAACGAAAGAGGGACATCAAGTTGGGCAACTATACCCTCTGGTTTTTTTAAGAAGAGCATGTCACCTGCGTATGCTGTGATTCGATGCTCCTGGTTGCCCATTTTAACCCCTTACACACCCATTCTGTCTGACCGCCTCCAGAAATTACTCGAAAGTAAGGGCAAACTGGGGTGAGGGGGGCGGGGAGACAGGGAGCAGTTACTGATAGTGAACGATGGGGACAGCGCTCCGTTCACCTGTATACGGGCCGTGGAGTTGGGAACAGTGAGAACACCCAGGATCTAATTGTGGGCCTATTCCCATGTGCTGTAGGGTTGCTTGGAGATAGTGCCAGTCCACCCAGTCAAACGCCTTTTTGGCATCCATGGATAGGAGGAGGATCCCTCCTCCTGAGGACCTGGTGGTATGGATGATTTTAAGGGCACGAATAGTGTTGTCTCTTCCTTTCCTTCCGGGCACAAACCCCACCTGATCTTAGTGGACCAGGTTTTGTAGCACCGTAGAGAGACGTAGGGAAAGTGCCTTTGCAAAGAGTTTCAAATTGGCATTGAGAAGGAATATGGCGCGGTAACTAGAGCAACAGGACGGATCCTTGCCTTCTTTTGGGAGAACCATGATGGTTGCCGCGAGTGGGTCCCCAGCGAACTGGACCCCTGTTCTAATGGAATTCAGGCCTGACAGAAGCCTGGTGAGCAGTATCTCTATGAAAGTGCATATGTAGGAAAGTGGGAGTCCATCTGGGGCCCTATTGGCTTTAGATAGTTTTAGAGCAGCACCTAGTTCTTACAGTGTCAGAGGTTGCTCTGGTGCCTCTGCTGCTTCTGGGGACCGCTTTCTGGCAACATATTGTTTGTTACTCGGTCACTCCATGCTGGTGTTGCCTTGCCTTCGCCCTCCTGTTGTGCTTGCGCTGTGTTCTATAAGTCGGTGTAAAAGGTGCGGAACGCCCAAAGGAAACCATCCGGGAGTCTGGTCTCCATTTAGTCCCGTGTTTTAATCTTGTGTATGTATTGTTGCTGCCTCCTCTGCTGTATAGTCCTGGCTAGGAGGCGACCGCATTTATTGGAGTGTTCAAAGAAGTACCTTGACGATTTGCAGAGTGTGTGTAGCAACCTCTGGGACAATACATCACTGAGCTGCCCACATGCGTCAGTCAGTTGTAAATATATGTCGTTTGCTAATGATTGTTTATGTAGGAGCTCCAGGTCTGCTATTATGTGGACCAGTGTCAACTTGTGGTTAGCCTGTTCCTTTTTGCGTTGGGAGCACACACTAATATAGTGGCCCCGGATAACACTTTTGTGCACCTCCCACACGGTGACGGGTTCCACTTCCGGGGAGTTATTGCTGTCAAAGTAGCTTACTAGTTCTTGTCTGGTCTTTTCAATGTTTTCTAACCCTAGTAGCATATTTTGCTCAGTTTCCAGTTATGCTCTCTAGGCTTGAATACTGGGGGGTGAGACAGTGGAGCCAATCCGGGGAAATGGTCGGAATCCGTGAGAACTCCAATGTTGGAGGTTATCATGTGTGAGGTAGTTTTTGGGCCATGAATATGTAATTGATCCTGCTATATTGTTTGTGTACTGTTGAGTAGTCTGAGTAATCCCTTTAGGGGGCTGGTTGAAATACTGTCATCTCCAAGGGAAACGGAGTTGGAAGAGAGAGAAGAAAGAAAAGTGAGAAAAAAAAATAATAAAAACCCTGAGGTTGGGGAACGAGAGAAGAGGGATCTCACAAAGGTGGGAAAGTGTGTATGTTCAAGGCAACTATGACCCGTGATCGGATGGCGATACTCTGTTTAGGGTATGAAGTTGACCCTCCGAGTCCCGATCGTATCTATAGTCTGCGTCTGTTGTGCTGGGGAGACCAGGAAGTCCGAGCAGATACGAATATAGCCTCAATCTCCTTGTGCTCCACTCGTCCCCAGCGCACAAACCTGAGCCAAATGATTGTCAGTGTGATTGGACAACTAGTCCTTAGTATTTTGAAAATAAGGGTCCGAGCTTATGCAATCTCAAAAACATGAATTTATAACTTTTTCTAAGAAATATATGTTAAAGCAGTATGGCTAGACCCCCCCCCCCCCAATCCTTCTGTGGCCCTTGGTAGCAGACCCTCCAGTTTGCCGTTTCCCCCCCTGAGTTCAGCTGATGTCAGGGCCTGACCTCTCTAATGGTCACCCCTTTACCTGTCAAGGGGCTGCCACCTCCCCTACGCCCCTTGCACTCTGTGTGTCCATGCACGGTGCGCCCCAGATTGAACCCTGCGGTCCCGTCCCCTGACATCCCCACAGGTCATGGCCACTGTCGCAACAGTTGCCTCGTAGCCCAGATAGATATTTGCATGCAGGGCTAACAGGATAGATATATAGCTAAGCTCCAGTCCAGAATGGCCCCCATGGCTGCTGTATGGCAAAAGGTAAGGATAGTCACTTGGGGCAGCTGTGCCGTAGAAGAAATCTAAGATGACAGTGGAGCACCCCAGGCCCGAAGGGCGAGCAAAAACAACAAGATCGAGGGGCAGAGCCTGACAACAGTGGTGAATGGACGCACAAACCTGTAGCTCCGTGCTCAAAATAGCAAAAAATACTGAAATCTGGAACCCTCACCTCCAAAAATTTACCATAAGAGCCCACCGGGTTGACCTGAACAACAGCGACCACCATCAGACTAAACTGCACCGGGGCTTACTATTGGGGACATGTGGAGGCAAGCGCATGGCGCCAGCGGGCCCAAAATGGCTGCGGTTGCCTAAACTTCTCAGACGAGTTGTCTGGCGACGCTGATGAAGACGAACTACTCTGCACCGGCTCCCTCGTAAAGTGACGAAACAACAAATCCGGGTTGGACTCCTCACCTGTGACCACATCGGTCCTAAAAGTATTGCTGGCAGACCTACAAAGGAATATCTTGGCAGACATCACGGCGGTACGCAGTGACCTGCAAGGGCTGACTGGCCGCATCGGGGCTCTAGAGGGAACTTCCCAAACAAGCACTCAACACATTGCCAAGCTTCACCAAGCCGTACATGACCTGCAGCAGCAGAACTTGCTACATGAACGTCGTTTTGGGGCCCTAGAGGACACACTGAGAAGAAACAGTCTCAAACTCAGAGGGGTCTCGGAAGACATCTCCGAAACGGAACTACCATGTTTCTTGAGAGGCATGCTGGCAGCCCTACTATCAGAGACGGGAAAGCTATCACCCTGGACAGATTCTTTTGAATCCCTAAACCCAACAAAGCACCAACCACAGCCCCCAGGGACTTAATAATTACCTTTCAAAACGACGACAAGGCAGTGGTCCTCACAGCACTATGGGACAAATCACCCATTCACTTTGAAAACATGGCGATGTCCCAACATTTACACAAGCATTGGGATTAAAACAAGTTCGTGGTCAGGACTGGTACAATGAATCTGGTTTTACACCTACTATGCCACAACCACAGCGGTGCAGAGAAATACCTACTCCTACCAGGAGTTCCAGAGGACTCACAACCTCATTAACCTGAATGGACCTGAATCTCTGATTCCTGACCAACACTTGCTGAAGATGGCTTCTAGCCATCTTTTTAGTTAACATTACATTCCTTGTTATAATTTTTATTGCTTGACCTCCCACACATGCATTTCAGCCACTGTACAGAAGGATGGTTAGGTTAACTCAATAGAAAACTAATCCCCATTAACATGAGGGTGTGTGACAGGGTAAACGTTTTAGTTCCAAAAAAAAAAAAAAAAAAGTTAAAACGTTACCTAGTCCTTATAATTTCCCAACACCTATGGTTTCCATATCAATGCTGGGGGTGGGAGATATTTAATTGACCTCATTCAGTAATCACGATCGATGAGGCATAATGGGATGTGAGCCTGAGTATCACACTCCCATCTATGAGATATCTGGCTAAACAAAACCGTAGCACCACTAATAAATGAGCATTCGCCCAGCCAGAGGGTCTGACCCACTACCCTAATTTTCTACTGTCCGCTGGGGACCAGGAAATATCTGCTTTACACCAAATGTTGACACGAATCTCCTCAAACAACACTTTAACTACTCTTTAATGACAAACACTTTGCTACAAATTGTGCACACTAAGCTGTGCATGATTAACATTCATATTAGTATTTTTATTTTATCATATTTCTTGCAACTAGCACATTTTCTTGCATTGGTACAAATCTTGTTTTGAATTTATGTTTCTGTATACCAGCTGGTAACCGCTCAAACACCTTACTGGGCAATGCTCCCATGTGGAAGCAAATTGCCCTTAAATTTCAATCAACTTATCAAACTGAAAATTATAACATCCCACATAGTATCCTTGAATGTCAGAGGGTTGAATGTCCCGGAGAGACAGCGTTTCCTCCTTGCTGAGTAAAAACGGGTATGCGTGGATATTTCAACAGCCTCACTTTCGACGGGGCTCTGCGTCCTCTCTTCGGGGCTGCCGATATACCACCGGCTACTTTGGTTATTATGATGGAGGTTAAGCCAGGGAAGTAGCAATTTTGCTTGCATCACAAATACCCACTCTGGTCAATGTATATTTACCTAATAAAGACCCAATTAAAACATTGACGAAAATTTTAGGTCTGGTAGTACAGGTTAAAAAAGGTAGTCATTCTCGCAGGCGATTTTAACTGCATTTTTGATACCTCTTGCGATAAACAATTGGCTAAAAATCAGAGGATAGATAAATCTCTTAAAAGGCAGGCTGTGTCGTTAAGCAGAGTGATTAAGAAGGCGGATATGTTTGACTGTTGGAGACTGTTTCATCCCAATGAAAGAAACTTTACACACAGATCTATCCCTCACAATTCGGCTGCTTGGATAGATATGATTTTGGGAAATCTAAAATTAGTTCAGGCAATTACTCTAATTTCTATCGTTGAAAATACTTGGTCAGATCATGATATGGTAATCGCAGATCTGGTAGAAATTAATAAGAGACCTCCGCAGATCTGGAAACTGGCAGATTATCTGATAAAAAATAAAGCAAATGTAGAACATATAGAGAAGTTAATTGATTTCTTTATTAAGGAGAATTCAACTGAGGAGGTATCTGAAGAATGCTTATGGTCCTCGTGTAAAGTAGTCATCAGGGGACACTGGATAAAACTTTCAAGTTTCCAAAAAAAGAATGTAGACAATATTTTGTCAGATCTTTTATATCCAATTTTATAATCTCTCTAAAGCGAACAAGTTTATTCTGAAGAGAGAGCCTTAGCTATTAAAGTCTACCAAGAAAAGATAAATGATCAGATTAAGAATAGGGTGGAACGTAACCTAAATAAGTTAAACATTAAATATTATTATAAGAACAACCGGGTAGACTCAGTCTTAACAAATAAACTGAAGAAAAAGATGACCGACCATAAGATATCTAAATTAAGAGATGGAATTAATTACATCTATAACCCTGAAGAAATTGCCAGTAAATTTAGAGTGTTTGTTTTATCAAAAACTTTATAACCTGAATAAATCTCCCGACCAAGGTTTGTTGGATAATTACTTGAAAAATTCCAATCTATCTAAATTATCTAACGATCAGATAGTGAAACTTAATAGAAATACATCTCATCATGAAGTTGAGTTGGCAATTGATAAGCTTAACAGTAAAGCTCCTGGAGCGGAGAGGTATACAAATTTGTTTTTTAAGGTTTTTAAAAGACATTTAATTCCGTTGTTAACCGATACTTTCAACGAATTGGCACTCAAAGGGAATGCATCTCAAGATTTATTAAGGGCTCATATTACTCCAATTTTGAAACAGGGTAAAAGCCCAAATGATGTGAGTAATTACCGTCCTATTTCTCTGGTTAATGTGGATATGAAACTTTATGCCGCAATTTTAGCGGAACGTTTGAAAATAGTCTTGCCATCACTTATACATAGGGACCAGATAGGTTTTATTCAGGGAAGACATTCCTCAAATAACACCCGTAGGGTTCTGGATATTATAGAATGGGCTCAAGTTGAGGGAACCCCCTTTCTGACCCTGTCGGTGGACGCTGAAAAAGCCTTCGACAGGGTCGGATGGGGATATTTGAAGAGAACTGTTACAGTTCGGTTTTGACGGGTGGTTCTTGAACGCAGTGGGAGCTATATATTCGAATCCCTCTGCCCGTCTAGTAGCCCGTGATTTATGCTCAGATTGGTTCTATATTAATAATGGGACGAGACAGGGGTGTCCTCTCTCACCTTTATTATATGTCTTATCAATTGAACCACTAGCAAATAATATTAGACAAAATGTAGGGATTAAAGGATTAGGAACTCAACTTGATGAATGGAAGATATGTTTATATGCTGACGATATTTTAATTTCTATTACGGATCCCCTGGTTTCTCTTCCCCATTTAATGCAAGAATTTAACCACTATAGTAGTGTTTCAAATTATAATTTGAACACGAATAAAACAATAGCTATGCCGATTTAATATACATGAAGATAATTTATTTTCCCTAAAGAAAGATTTTGACTTTAAATGGACAAAAAAAAAGAGTTTATATATTTGGGGGTAATTATAACTGCAGATATAAGACGGACTATGGAAATCAATTTTTTGAAGCTGTTAAAAGAGACTAATATGTTATTAAAAGAATGGAGAGTGCATGAAATCTCCTGGTGGGGAAGGATAAATAGTATTAAAGCCTATATAATTCCTAAATGGGCATACTTATTCAGTATGCTCCCTCTCGATTTCGAGCTATTGGCTGAATATGCTGCAAAATAGCATTACAGTTTATGTTTGGAGAGGGAAGAGACCAAGAATTAGTACATCCACTCTATCAAGGAAGGCCCACCAAGGGGGGTTGGGTTACCCCCTAGTCAATCAAATCTACCAGGCTAATAGGCTTGTTCATGCTAGTAGATTACAACTAAGTGACTCTATAGACCAAGCTTGGTATAAAATAGAGGCAGCCAGACTTGGTTTAGATAACCTTGAAATCCTCCTATGGAGAGAGGCTAGTCAGAATAAGCATTTGTGCGAGATTGGTTCTCATTTTCCTTTGTCTTTATCACAGACATTAAAAGAATGGACTAATATAAAGAAGAAGTTGAATATTAAAGGACCACTCTAGGCACCCAGACCACTTCAGCTTAATGAAGTGGTCTGGGTGCCAGGTCCTTCCAGGGTTAACCCATTTTTTTTTATAAACATAGCAGTTTCTGAGAAACTGCTATGTTTATGAATGGGTTAAGCCTTCCCCCTAATCCTCTAGTGGCTGTCTCATTGACAGCCACTAGAGGCGCTTGCGTGCTTCTCACTGTGATTTTCACAGTGAGAGCACGATGCTTTCCTATGCGACGGGCTGAATGCGCGCGCAGCTCAGCCCAGGAGGAGAAGAGAAGGAGGAGAGCTCCCCGCCTAGCGCTGGAAAAAGGTAGGTTTTAACCCCTTTCCAGAGCTGGGCGGGAGGGGGACCCTGAGGGTGGGGGCACCCTCAGGGCACTATAGTGCCAGGAAAACAAGTGTTTTCCTGGCACTATAGTGGTCCTTTAATAGAAAACTATATGAGAACATTAGTCTAAGGTCGTTAGAATGTTTTATGCTAGAGATATACCTGACGAATTGGTTCAAAGATCCTAATCATAAGATAAAAGATCTTTATAATGATCACCAATTGAAAAGCTTTGAAGTTTTGAAAAACTGGCTAGATTTACCTTCTAGAGAATTATTTAATTTTCTTCATATTAAGAGCTACTTGAAAGATAGCATACTGGCTTTAGATGGACGTTTTGGAAAATTGTTTAGGAAAATCTTTTTACGATGTAACGTTAAATTTTTTTTCTCTATTGCAGTTGAACTAATAAAATTGAAAGTGACCCCACCTATCCCCAAAGCCTTAACCAAACGGAAAACTGATTTAGCAGTTTCAATTCCATTTAATAGTTGGTGTAAATCCTTTATGAGGACTTAAAAAACCATTCATTTCTAGAGAATTTTACTAAAATATTGTACAGATGGTACTTGGTACCGTCTAGACTTGCTAAAATTTCCATTACTAATCCATCTAATTGTTGGCGGTGTCAACACCCAGATGGCTCTATGTTTCATATATGGTGGACCTGCCATCGAATTAAGTCTCTCTGGATTATTACATTTGAATTTATAAATAGAATTGGAGGTATACATTTAAAATTTAAACCGGAAGTCGCCCTACTTCATCTTATGGGCTTAGAAATAAAGGATAATATTGATATTGTGATTATACACTGTTTAATGGCTACCAAAATATTAATTGCTAGATTTTGGAAAAGTACTGATATTCCTACTAGAGATCAAGTTAAAGCCCAACTCCTATTCCAAGTCGAGATGGAAAAGGGGTTAATGTATATGAGAGAATATCCTAATTTTAATATTTTGACGTTTTATTCCAGTATTGTTGAAAAAATTATTGGGCTTTAAATGAGCTGGAGGAGCTGGGGTTACTGCATACATTCACCTTATGGCAAATTTGATGATCTCATAATGGGCTCTAATTTCGGGTCCCTTGCCCACATCCTGATATTACTTAATGTAGTATTGGATCTGCAATATATCTGACCAGTTTTGTCTTTGTTTTTAAGGCCGTTTTTGGACCATGATATCCCCTTCAGGGGATTTTAATGTTAGTATATTATTGTGTACTTGATGGCTTATTTCTGACGTAATTTGAAATAGAATAATATACCTTTTGTATGTTTAATGGGGATAGGAGTCCTTATTTTTTCTGTAAGGTTCCTTCCCCTAGATGTTCTTATGTCTATCAATGCTTTCATAAAAAAAAAAAAAATCTAATAAAAGGAAACAAATGAAAAAACAGATGATCGACCCACAAGGTAGATATGTCTTTTTTAGCGGCTTAATCGGATCACATGAATATACTTTGGCTAATATATATGCCCCTAATAACAGACAGGGATACTTTTTAAAATGAACACTGTCGAAACTATTCTTTTTCTAAAGGTACTCTGATCAGTGGTGGAGACTTTATCCCTGCATCCCTCACACCATAGGGGCAACCCAAATCACTTACAAAAGAAGCTATGCATACAGTCCTTCCATAATAACCAACTCATAGACCGTTGGAGACTCATGAACCCATCTTCTAAAGAATAAACATTTTACTCAAACCCACAGCATACCTACTCCCGAATAGACTCAATTATTTTTTTTATCAACCACAGATTCTTACATCTTCTCAAGAAACCACATATAGGCTCCATTGCGTGGACCGATCATGCACCAGTCCGTGTGTATATGACCTTCCCCACAATTCCAACCCGCATATGGAATTGGAAACTTAATGATTCCGTCTTAGATAACCAACAACTTAAAACCCAAATACAGGAAACAACACTCACATACTTCCACGATAACCCAATCTCCGATACATCACTGCATAACACATGGGAAGCCCACAAATGTGTAATACGAGGTGCATTTATCCAAATTGGCCCAAGACTAAAGATAGAGAGGAATCTGGCCTCTTAGGCTACAATTCATGGCTTCTGCACTCAAATTGAGCCCAAGACATACCCACATGACTGTGGAAGAGGTAGCAGCCCTGAGAGCGGGACCTTTTGGACCTCCTGTGGGAAGCACGAAGCTTAAGAGCCTGCAGCCTACTCGAGAGGAGAGCGGGGCCGGTGGCCGCCGTCCTGCCTCCCTTCCCAGCTACCACATGCCGGCCACTGGGTAAAGCTGGAGCTGTGGAGAGACTAAGGGGCACTACACACCCATGAACTAACTCGCAAGATGGCGGCAGCTAAGGGTACAACACCAACCTCTACACACCACGTACCAAAACAAAAGACATCAAAGTGTGCCCAGCGATGAGTCCACCGATCACCCCCTGTAGGGAAGAGAATGGGACCATGAGAGACATTGGATCCTCTGTCTGATACAGATTACCCCTACTGTTGCCGGGAGCAGGTGGAGAGCTTTAAGCCCATGCCGCAACATGGGCTTATCAGACTTATCACACACTTACAAAGCCTGGCTAATATCAAAGTCGGCTGAATATCAAGCCTGGAATGGGAAGTCACACTATCACCCAGATAAACACCAGTGCCACCTGAAAGAGCCAAGGGTTCCCCAGTAGTGATGTCCCGAACGGTTCGCCACGGACTCCAGTCAGCAGACACATTCCAGCCAATCAGCAGCAGACCCTCCCACCTCATTCTTAGTGAGCTGTCCAGGAGGTGGGAGGGTTGGGGAGGGAGGGTCTGCTGACTGGAGTCCACTGCGAACCGTTCGTGGCGAACCGTTCGGGACATCACTATTCCCCAGCTATCGGCGATATGCTGAGCTGCTGACTTACCTAGTCAATGACTTTATGTTTGAGGTGACGCCACCCGGACACTCTATGCAAGCACTCATAGCCCAATATAACGTGCTCTACAAGAGAAAGCATTTCGTTTCACGCTATCTTTCCTTCAACATAAAATGCAGCCATTTTGTACTCCCAAACCACTTCCCTCTGCTTGGTTTCACACAGATGCATGTAATGGTACAGAGGTCGGCTCTCTAAACCAGTTGAACTTAGGTAGCATGTTATAACATTTTCTTATTTTATAATACACATGGACACCTTAGCAGTTTCCTCACATTTAACAGCATGTGTTCAGCCCCAATTTATGCTACACTTCTTATACAAGCTTCCACCATGCTACTTGATGTCATTTGTAAGGTTTGCCATTTATTTTTCACTCAGATCAACTTATAATAGAACCAAAGAAAAAAAAGGTTAACTGCGCTCTCTCCTTAGCAAAAAGTGAATACAAATACAAAAAGAAAAGTCCTGCGCTCACTTGGCAGGTGTCAGGATTACTGTTTGATCCAGCACGTAGAACTGTACAGCACGGATGACAAATAAGTAACGTATTACCGGTCCTTAGAATGGCCGGATTTAACGTACAAAGAATAGTCAAAAATACTAGCTGAGGTCAGGGAACACAGAAAGGGACACAGCGATGAGGAAAGCCAGGAGTCAGGATACCAGAATAAAGAGAAGTCAATAAACAAAGCCAAAGTCAAAAACCAGGTAGAAAACTATAAACAAGAACGCGCTCTCAGACAACCACAAGGGAAACCACGACAGGGCACTGAGCAGGCTGAGAACTGGGCCTAAATACCCTCCTTTAGTTCTGATAGGCTGTAACCGGCCTTTGACCCCAAAGTCAGTTACCAGGTTTCATTTGCAGAATTGCTGCTCAGCATTAACCCTTCTGTGGATTAGGTTGCTGCTCGGCACAACTTTTCCTGTGTGGACAGTAAATGTCATTAATCACTTTTCTCTTAGCGGATGAATACGTGACATTACCCCCCACCTGAAGAACGCCCACCGGGCGGACAGGACCAGGCTTGAGAGGAAATTTAGCGTGAAAAGCGCGGATCTTACGGCCCGCATGCAGGTCAGGAGCCGAAACCCAAGAACGATCAACAGGACCGTAACCTTTCCAAACAACCAAGTACTGTAAAGTGCCCCGAAAAAAACCTAGAATCCACGATAGAAGATACCTCATACTCTTCCTGACCACCCACCACCACCGGAGGGGGAGGAACACAAGGAACAGTATATCTATTGCAGACAAGAGGTTTGAGTAAGGACACATGAAAAGTGTTGGGAATCCTTAAAGATGCAGGAAGAGCCAGAGAGTAAGACACTGGATTGATCCTACAAAGCACTCTATAGGGACCAAGGAATCTGGGGGCAAACTTCATGCTAGGGACCTTAAGCTTGATGTTGCGAGATGACAACCAAACCCGGTCCCCCACTTGGAGGCCAGACGCTCATCCAGAGCAGGAATGGCAGTATCAGAAAATACCGCAGGGAGAACCGTAGGATGCCTACCATTATTGACAAAAAATGTACTGTGCCCAGAGGAGTCATGAACAGCATTGTTTCTAGCGAACTCGGCCCACGGGAGTAGTTCGGACCAATTGTCTTGTGTGCTATTAATAAAACAACGCAAATAAACTTCTAATGACTGGTTAGCCCTCTCAGCTGTACCATTGGTCTGTGGGTGGTAGGAGGAGGAGAAGGAGAGATCAATCCCCAATTGTTTACTGAACGCCCTCCAGAACCTGGACACAAACTGAGAGCCCCTATCAGACACAATATTGTGGGGGATGCCATGCAAGCGGACAATTTCACGTATGAAAATTAGGACCAAATCTTGCGAAGATGGCAACTTCTTGAGAGGAATGAAGTGAGCCATCTTAGAAAATCGGTCTACAACCATGAGAATAGTAGTGAACCCAGCAGAGCTAGGAAGCTCAACAATAAAGTCCATGGATACGTGGGACCATGGAATCTCAGGAACAGGAAGAGGCTGCAACAGGCCACAAGGAAGTGCATGAGTCACCTTAGAAACTGCACACACAGAACATGCCTGCACATACTCCTTTACATCTTTCCTGAGTGAATCCCACCAAAATGATCTAGTGATCGCGGCAGTGGACTTATTGATGCCCGGGTGTCCAGCAGTTATATTGTCATGGAACACTTTCATGATATTAACCCTTTCACATAGGGGAACGAACAGTTTATCACACGGTTTACCACTGGGCGCCTGATGCTGGGCCTCCAGTATGGTGCCAAGCAGTGGAGAAGACAGTGAGAGGACAGTAGTAGCAATAATACACTCTGGTGGAATGATAGGAGATGTCATCTGTTCCAGAGCTGACTCATTATCAAATTGCCTGGACAAGGCATCAGCCTTGGTATTTTTAGAACCAGGTCTATAAGTAATGAGAAAGTTAAAACGTGAAAGGAACAGTGACCATCTAGCCTGTCTGGAAGACAAGCGTTTGGCATCCCCTATATATGCCAGATTTTTGTGGTCGGTTATGATCAACAGGGGGTCCTTGGAACCCTCCAAAAGATGTCGCCACTCCTTGAGGGCAAGAATAATGGCCAACAGTTCTCTATTGCCAATATCATAGTTGCGCTCAGCAGGAGACATCTTTCTGGAGAAGTAGCCACAAGGATGCAATGGTGTTCCCTGGCTTTCTCTCTGAGAGAGAACAGCCCCTACCCCTGTCTCGGATGCATCAACCTCCAATATAAAAGGTTTACTG